ACTGGACATCTTAGACAATGCTCGGAAGAAGGGGTGTGGAGCTGGCATGAGACCGTGTCTCTGGCTCAGGCCATAGAAGGCTGTGTAACTGCGAGCAGATAAAGGCTAGGATAGCTGGGTTAGAGTGAAGAAAGGGGGAATTAAGGAGGGTGCGGCAGCCTTGAGTGTGCTTGTGGACCTGGCCGGGTGGACTATGGGCTCCGACTGATGGTACCTTGTGACCAACAATGACTGACTCGCGCTCTGACAATCTTCTTATTTAATACTTTATCTATTCAATTGCAGGAGGAGTGATTCTGTTCTGTTCCCTAACTACCAAATTACATATTCAACTACTACTTTGTTCAGAATAATTGTAATATTAAATGATTACTTAAATTGAGATGACTTGTGTGAATTAATTTAGTTGGTATCACATTCTAGCCACGACAAGCACAAACTACTTATTTACATTCCATCACTGTTGAGATTTGTTAATGGTAAATTTAAGTCATAACTCCAACACACCTTGAGTGGTTTCTGGATATAGATGGTTTTGAATGAGATGGTTTTGTCTAAGCTTGGTTTTGTGTAGTTCTCTGGCATGTCCATCAGAGGGCGATAAAAACAACATGTTGTAAAGATCGAGATGTAGAGCAGATACACAATCATCAGGAGCCTGACACAAGAAAGGAAAAGATAACACTGTAAAACAAGGCTGGACATGTGAACAGATGTTTTACTTCAGAGACTCACATCAAACTTTACCTGAAGTAATGTTTTGCATACAGGTTCCACTTCAGACTGACCAGCTGCTTCACTGGGGTCACCTCCAGCAGCAACATCGCCTGGCAGAAACAAAATGACAGCTGTTGAATTTCTTTTAAGCATCACACCCATGTCATTATTTCTAACAAATAGTCCATAATTTCCCCAAATTACTATATTTTGTAGTGTACCTCTTTGTGGTGGCTCCTCACAATAAGCTCCAGCACAGACATGTTGTCAGCCCAGGAATCGATCTCTGTCAGGTCATAGAGCTTAGAAGAGAAAGAGCCCCGGCGCCACAGGAACACATATCTTTTATTAACCAGGTGTCGAAATACCTGAAAGAGACACAGTGAGAACAGGAATAGTGAAATATTCAGCTCCACCTTTCATGTTAGGATTTTACTCTTTGCGCCCTCTCATGCTTTACTCACCATAATGTTTCCCTTTTTGGCAGCCACTTTCATTGGTGTAAGGCCTTGGAGGTTGGGCACCATGTCAAGTGGCACTGGCTCCTGCAGCTCTGCATCTCGTGTCATTATCAGGTCGATGGACTGGCACGCAGCTACCTTGTTGGGCTGCAGAACCAAAATGTGAAGCACTGTGTTGCCTAGAGAGAAGACAAGAAGAGGAAAAAGTAGACATGAGACAAGGGTGCTGGCCCCTGTGTTAACGACCATAGAGATAATGTTCTCATTCCCAGTACATGCAGCAAAAGATAGGACATGCTCACCTGTTGACCAAAAGTATGTTTAGAAAAACAATCTGTTTTGTGGGACTTAGATGCAATACATTTATTTGTAAAATACTTTGCTCCAAAATGTGCATGCATTTTGCATGTACACATTCATTTTGGTCAGTTTGGGGTTTAATGTCTTGCTAAAGACATGTCTACAAGTGGCCAGGAAGAGCTTGGGGATCAAGCATCAGCTTTGTCATTACTCAGCCACCCTGTACATTTTAGGCTCGCTCATGCTGACTCACCAAAGTAAATGAGTCCTCCTCTCCTCTTCTGAAAGTACAGCCCGGTGGCTCGAGGTGTAGCCACATCACCACCATGACTAATGAGGTGATGGACCAAACTGATGTTCTGATTCACCACAGCAATGTGGAGAGGAGTGACACCTGAGACAGAGGAGAGACAGACAGTGTATGTCAGTCCACTGTTTATATTTTCACCTGCTGTGTAAACAAGGCCTGCATTATATTGACGTTTGGTTTGCTTATGTGTCATGATCCTGCCCTGCTGGCTTCCGATTCTCCCTGCTTTTACTCTGAAAGTACTTCCTGTCACCAGCTCATCCACAACCCGGGTAACTTTAGCTCATCATGCACATTGGTTTCACCTGCCACTAATCACCCACACCTGTTCACCACAGCATATGGTGAGGAGCGGAAAAGATAACCAATGCCCTGTCTAGACTCTCCAGCCTTTTTCCCCTGACTGCTTTCCTGGTACCGGACCCTTGCCCGCTCTAACGACCTGTGATCCAGCCTGCTCCCTCTTGTCTGACTGCCAACCTGAGATTGACACCCTGCCTGTTCAACCAACCTGTGATTCTGCCTTGCCTTCCCTGCTGCCCTGCTGGAGACTTTGACCTTGGACTGTATTAGGTACCACTCTTCTGCCTGATCCCCCAAGACTGTGTTTTTTTTTTTGCTAAAATCACAAAAGAACATTAAAATCACTGTCTCAGCTGACTGGCTTTTTAATTGGACCTGCTGTGTAAACAAGGCCTGCATTATAATGACATTTGTTTGCTTATGAGCAAAACAGGTCAACTTGCTTAGTGGTAGAAGACTTATTCAAGTCATACCACAAGATAAAACATAGTGCAGTGAAAGTCCTTGCTTTTACTGGTACTGGTTACAAAATACATTTAAAGTATCAAAAGTAAAAATACTAATTATGCAGAACAGCTCCTTTCCCAGTTGAATCATTCTAACTGATGGAATAATATGTAAATAAATCAGGTTACAGCTGGTAACCAGTCCTCACATATTGTGTTGGTTGTCCAAACAACATGTGTGCACTACATTGAGTTGTGTACTGCTTTGCTAAAGCAGGAGAAAAGGCTGTGAGGAGGTCACTACTGGCAAACTGCTGCCGACTAGACCTTACAGCTTGTTACACTGATTTGTAAATTATTTGCATGTTATGATCTTTACCTATACAACATTAGAAAAGATAAAATAGTAATAGTAAAGACAAGTGTGTAGTACATATTAATGTACTACACACTGTACTGGAGAGGAAGATTAATGAACATAATTGAAAAAGTGCAAGGGAGTGAATGGGTTAAAATGGCCTCAATTTGTGTGTTTGGACATTTTTTGCATTTGTGCATACACATGTGCAGTAAAATGTCAACTGCATGATGTGCATGTGTATTTACATATGTCAACCTTTGAAAAGCTCAGAGGTCATGGGCTCGTTGATGAGTTCAGGAGCCCCGTCCATCAGAGCCACTGCTGCCTCCACATTATCATTCATCACAGCAATATGAAGCGCTGTCTCTCCAAGAGCACCTGAGTGAGAGGATCACAACTTCATAAAGTACAACTGACACTGTACCACATTGAAATAACACAGTGAAGTTAAAATTCACAGCTCAGTCATACCTCTTTCAAAGATGTTAGTGGATGCAGAGCTTAGCAGTTTCTTGATACAGGCAATGTTATTTGTTTTAGCCGCATAGAAGAGAGGAATGTCATTTGTGCTGAAGGAAGGACAAAAGAAAAACCCCAAACAGTATTTGCATAATACTGACATCTCTCAGTTCATTGTTAAAACTGGTGAGTGGTATTTGATAGGAGTTTCTTACAGTTTGATGTGAAGCAGATATGTCTCATCCAACATCTCGTCCCATCCTTTCTTGTTCTCATGGCGAAACCTCAGCTGGTGCCACCAGTGGCTGAGCAGGGCTGGAAGAGATCTGGCCAGAGGCGGAGACATTGACTCCTGATGGTCGAGTGGAAAAACAAAATAAAAAGTTGAGGTTCTGGTTAAAGTACAGAGAAAAGAGGTTTATACCTGGAGGCAAGAATTATTTCATCATTTAGTCTCCGAGAATTGACTTTTTGTATTGTTTTCAAAATAAAATGCAATAAAATCAAGTTTTTAGACCTTACCCTTAAACAATAAATGTCCTACTCCTCAAATTCTGCCAATAATCAGTCACAATGCCCAAAATAGGAAACAACACCTATTATAGAATGTCCCTGAAGAGAAGTGAAATCCTTTTGGCCTGCACACTATATATGATCTTTCCATGAGGGAGGAGACATATGTAGAAACTGAGAATGACGGGGTGGAGACAGAAGAGGAGTGGTAATTAGTTGGTGCTGACAGAGTGCAGCCATAATGAGCAGGCAGACTTTCACCATAGATCAGGACTCTCACAGCAAAAGTTATGCTTTGAGTTTCATATCAATGGTTCACCACAAACTCCTTTCTCATGCTAATCTGAAAGAAATGAAGTGACAATGGTCCCATCCCCAATTCCAATAAATCTCTGTTATCACCAGGCCTATCTGCCACTCTAACTACCAATAAATTCTACATGGCCACTATGAAAATTCAACATCATAACAGTCAGTTGCAGTTATTCAAGTGAACCATTTAGGAAACCCCTCTGGGAATTGCAAATGTGTATATCCGAACCCTGGTCTGAAGTTTCAACCTGATATGAAGGCTACTGTCAGCTCTACATTAATCAATTGCAATGAAAATGTTGCTCAGACATAATGATCTTACAATACTGCATCCTACGGAAGGGTCTTCTGACTTAAGTAGATTTATTACATATGCTACAGTAAAATAAAACACAGCAGAATGGTAGTACAGAGGCTACATATGAAGAGTTTGTGTGCATGGTCTTACTATCTGTCCAAATCTGCTCAGATATCAGTTTGACATGTGGGACACCACTATGTGTTCTCAGCCTGCTGCTGATCCCAGCAGATCTCAGACTGATTTGACTCAAACCTGCTGATCAGTGGAAGCTGAAACACACAAAGGTTACTCTCCAACATTGTGAAGGTGATAGTAGTATACTTATATATTGTTGTTTATTTTGTTGCTCCATTAAAGAAAAACTTGTGTTTTAAATATTTTCATTATAATTTTTTATTATGCTTCTCCCCCTAGAGAATAAATAAAGTGACTGAAATGATCATGGCAGGTGAATAACATAGCATGTTTTTATGGTTTGAGCTCCATGAACCATTATATTAATCATGTACTATGGTGTTCCAGAGGTTTGTGTTCACCATAAACTTTCTAGGCTACAGTTGTTCCCTCAAAATGAGCAACCTTTTATCAAGTCGCACCATCTGTGACTCTATTAATTTATTTACATTATAAACAAAAAGTATGTTTAGGCTACTCTCTCAAATGAACACAAAGTGCACAGAATACCAAAGGCCAAACAAAACATATGTTAGGTCCCATATTAGCTGGACCCAATGTGCCAACACACACACACTAGGAGTGGGGTATAAAGTAGAGTTTATTGAATATGGAAAAAAAAAAAACAGTTTACTGGATGGGAGAGTGAGAGAACAGAGGCAGAGTCGGTGCTGGACTGGAACAGCACTGATACTCAGGACGGGTGCAGGAGAGAAGGTGATGGTGAAGTGGACAGTGACTGCTGTGGAGAACTTGGGACACTGTGGAGAGAGTGTGGCTGTTGAAGGCAGGAATCACAGAGGACGATCAGCGCTGGTAGCATCTCCTCTGGGCAGGTGTAGGACTGGAGAGCTGGAGACGGTAGGAGTCACTGGAGAAGTGGAGAGCTGGGGACGGTAGGAGTCACCGGAGAAGTGGAGAGCTGGGGACGGTAGGAGTCGGCAGAGAACAATGAGTCAGCCTACAGGAGGCACACACAATCCCATCCATATTAACAGGATGGTTGTTGGACATGTCTCTAGCCTTAAATTCCTGGGAACCCACATCTCAGAGGATCTGTCCTGGACCACCAACACCCGCAGCCAGGTTAAAAAAGGCTCACGAGCACCACTTCTTCTTCCCGAGGACACTGAAGAAAAACTACCTGTCTTCAACCATCCTGGTGAACTTCTACCGCTGTGCCATCGAGAGCATCCTGACTAGCTGTATCAAGTCTGGTATGGAAACTACTCTCTGACTGCAAGGCGATGCAGCGGATGGTGAAAACTTCCCAACGCATCATAGGGACTCCATTTCCAGCCACTGAGGGTGTCCACAGGGAATGCGGCCTCCATGTGCTCGCAACATTCTCAAGGACTTCTCTCACCTTGCTCACAAACTGTTTGACCTCCTACCCTCTGGGAGGCGCTTCGGGAGCCTCTGGACCAAAACCAGTAGACCCAGGAACAGCTTCTTCCCCACAGCTGTCTCCTTAGTGAACTCTGTCCCCTGTTGACCCCCCCACTGCCTTCTTCTATACCACTACACACACCTCACCCCTTCTCATCTCTCTTCCTGGGACTAATGCAACACACTACTGTTACTTGTAATACTTATACAATTAGTTCTGACTGTACACACTGTAGATACTGAACACTCTGCACTGCTGTTATTGCACTGGTTAGATGCTAAACTGTATTTTCGTTGCCTTGTACTTGTACATGGGTAATGGCAAGGTCAAGTTAATTTTATTCAATTCTATGTAGCCTGGGTAAAAGGTTGCCACACAGGACAATTACTGGGGTCCTCACAGCTTTGATGTCCAGCAGGTCACAGGATATTTACGCACAAAAAGATATGGAGTAACAAAGCATGGAGTAGCAAAAGCAAGGGGTAACAAAATATGGCAGTGGGATCTGGATGTACACACAAACAAAATAATCTGTAAAAACCAAATAACCAAACAGTAACCAAAAATCCGTAAAATGCCACATTCACATACGTACAGACACTTACATCCTGCCAAAAGCTCTATGTTGGACACATCGCTGCCAGCTGGTGATGGTCCCATGACACCTGAGGCTCCAACACATGCGCTATAGCTCATGAAGTAATTGTATCAAACCACTGTGCTGAGGCGTGTTTTGGTCACGTGACTAGTGACATTTGAAGCACTTGAGTGACGTTTGAAGCAGTTGAATGCGTCGGACATCATTCAAATCAGCTGATTGGTTCGGTTTGTCATGTGAATCACTTTACTGGATAGTGTGTGTTCAAAGATAGGATATCCCTATTTAGTGCCGTTCATTTGAATTTTTCATTGCAGAGTAGGTTGGTTTGTTGCTGTTGTTACCATTTGAGAGTTTGTAGTGTAGCAGACTGTGTATTCAGTGTAGAATCACTGTAGATAGATCAATAGATAGCTAGATAGTAAGAGAGAAATAGATGAATTAGTTACATAGTTAGATAACACTACGTACATATAGTTATATAGATAGTCCTAAATAATGTTAGCTATAAATTATATACAGTGGTGTGAAAAAGTGTTTGCCCCCTTACTGATTTCTTATCTTTTTGCATGTTTGTCACACTGTAATGTTTCAGATCGTCAAACAAATTTATATATTAGTCAAAGATAACACAAGTAAACACATCATGCAGTTTTTAAATGAAGGTTTTTATTATTAAGGGAAAACAAAATCCAAAACTATAGAGCCCTGTGTGAACAAGTGTTTGCCCCCCTGTCAAAACACTGGTTTATCGCACCTGAGTTCAATTTCTCTTGCCACACCTGTTCGCAATCAAGAAATCACTTAAATAGGACCTGCCTGACAAAGTGAAGTAGACCAAAAGATCCTCAAAAGCTAGACATCATGCCGAGATCCAAAGAAATTCAAAAACAAATGAGAAAGAGAATAATGGAGCTCTATCAGTCCGGAAAAGGTTATAAAGCCATTTCTAAAGCTTGGGGACTGCAGGCGGTGTTACTTTTACGCCACACATAATGGGACACACACCTTCCAAAAAGTTCAACTTTTGTCTCGTCTGTCCACAGAGTATTATCCCAAAAGTCTTGGGGATCATCAAGATGTTTTCTGGCAAAACTGAGACGAGCCTTTATGTTCTTTTTGCTCAGCAGTGGTTTTCGTCTTGGAACTCTGCCATGCAAACCATTTTTGCCCAGTCTCTTTCTTATGGTGGAGTCATGAACACTCAGCTTAACTGAGGCAAGTGAGGCCTGCAGTTCTTTGGATGTTGTTGTGGGGTCTTTTGTGACCTCTTGGATGAGTTGTCGCTGCGCTCTTGGGGTAATTTTGGTCGGCTGGCCACTCCTGGGAAGGTTCTCCACTGTTCCATGTTTTCGCCATTTGTGGATAATGGCTCTCACTGTGGTTCGCTGCAGTCCCAAAGCTTTAGAAATGGCTTTATAACCTTTTCCGGACTGATAGAGCTCCATTATTCTCTTTCTCATTTGTTTTTGAATTTCTTTGGATCTCGGCATGATGTCTAGCTTTTGAGGATCTTTTGGTCTACTTCACTTTGTCAGGCAGGTCCTATTTAAGTGATTTCTTGATTGCGAACAGGTGTGGCAAGAGAAATTGAACTCAGGTGCGATAAACCAGTGTTTTGACAGGGGGGCAAACACTTGTTCACACAGGGCTCTATAGTTTTGGATTTTGTTTTCCCTTAATAATAAAAACCTTCATTTAAAAACTGCATGATGTGTTTACTTGTGTTATCTTTGACTAATATATAAATTTGTTTGACGATCTGAAACATTACAGTGTGACAAACATGCAAAAAGATAAGAAATCAGTAAGGGGGCAAACACTTTTTCACACCACTGTGTATATATATATATATATGTATAGCTGGACTGAAAGACAGTGTTATGTTTGCACAACACGCGAGGTGGTGTGACAGAGAAACAGACTCAGAGAGCTGACTTCATCATAAGCAGTGTCTTAATAGTGCTGTACACTGCTGGGCTAGTGTATGGCACTAGTTGTCTGTGTGGGCATGAGAACGAACTGGCAGTGGGCAGGTAGGAAGGCGGGGTAAATATAGGCGGTCTGGTTATTGCAAGAGTGACAACAGGTGGTGATAATGAGGATAGCTGGCAGGTGTGTGGAGGAGAAGGGCAGGTGAGACCGAGCAACCTTGACAGACCTCTAAACATACTTTGCCAATGCCCATAATATATTCTGTATTTGCACCAGTCCCATGTGAAAATAACATCTGTCTGAATTTGTAGAGCACATCTCATGAATATAGCAGCACCATTTAAAGGTTTCATAACACAAAATATAAGTGAAGAGTACGGCACAGCGCT